CACCTTACCTCTGTAACTTGATTTGTGCCACTATTAGAACCTCTACTCAGAATATTATTGCTTTTCAATTTTTGACTCATGCACTTTTAACTTGTTAAATTTGTATCTTCCAGGATAGATACTAAATTTAGATCATTATAGAAAACCTATAAAAAGGAGCTCTGATGACTTAGTCTATATTATGTTGCTCTACTAGTCAAGAAGCCTAAAGAATCTTTGTTTCTAGTATAAGGTTATGATTATGTATGCATTATGACACAATGTGTCTTTGTCCGTGAAGATTTCATGAGAGAAAACTTCTCGACCTTAAAATGAAGAATTTACTTCTCATGTGATTGCCTTGTTTTTACCTTGTGGGCATTATAAATGTTTAACTTCATTCTATGGTTAGCTGCCAAAAAGCTTAGAGCCAAATTTGTGGCCTACCCATAATAAAAGTGCACTATGCCTCAATAATTTCATTCCTTGCTCTAATTTATGTATCTGCACTAGTCTTTCTCCTTAAGAAAATCTTAATTCATGCCATCTTATTTTATGTATATTTGCATTTTTTTCCTCATAAATAGATTCAAGATTTTTCTAAAATAGTTCAGATTATGATGAACTATGTGCATGTAAAACCATCTTCAGTGCTTTATTAGTTAAAACTTCATTTACATTAGCTTTTTATCTTCAGAGATATTTTTCTGTAGGTTTTAAGAAGTTTTCATTAAAATAATTATGTCATAAAATTTTACTATTTTAATATTGTAACTGAGTGGTAAAAATAAGTAAAGAGTTAATTAAAGGGATGTGATAATTTGAGCTCGGTCTCTTACCTCAGTATTAATGTTTGGGGTGGGTTTTGGTGGGGTTTTTTTTTGTGTTGTGTGTTTTTTTAACAGTATGCTTTGTTTTCTCAATTCACATGTGATGGTTTTATCTGTGTGATTTTTAGAAATACCATTATGTTACCAAGACAGCAGCACATAGCAGTTAACTCTCTTTTTAACTAGAAAACTCACTTTCATTGAGTTGGAACAGACTCAGAGCTGACTCTCCAGCAGGATTTCTGAGGCTGTAAATCTCAGGGGAGGAGACTGTGCATCTTTCTCCTACAGAGCTGACAGTGAATTCAAACTACTAGAGAAGTACAGCTTGTAGATTAGCAGTGCAGTTCCGTAGAGTGGATCTCCTTAGGTATCGAGGAGGATGCCCCCCACAAGTCAGCCTAACTGGGTCCTGGGCCCTAGACAGGCCTGCAGCTCATCTCCACAGGACGCTACCCAAAGCTCACTAAATACCTGGTTGGTCTCAAGTGTGATACTGTTTTCCACAACCATCAGATGTTTTGGCTTACCTCTTTACATGCAACTTGAGTTGCTGCTGCTTTAAGCTGCTCATGCATTTGTCTGGACAAGAAAGTATGAATGGATAATTTTTTTTAATTTTTATTTTATTATTTTTGTGTGAGTATACCATCAAATCAGATCTGACTGGTACAGGAGGAGATTGTCCCTCCTTCCCCGGCAGAGCATCTGGTGGATTCAAACCGTGCGCCTCTGGGATTGTAGTTGCAGCTCCTTACCACTAGGCCACCAGAGCTCCCCTTGAATGGATAATTTGTCTCCAAACCTCATTTTATTTCACTGGTTTAGACCTCTCCTAGATGTTTCTGGTTATCAGTATCTAGTTGATCACATTGTTTGTACAAAGTGTTGTACTTTTTTTTTAATTCATTTTAATGAAAGTTTATAGAGACTTTGGATTTCCATTCATTCATTGTTGCACTTTTCTCCCTGCCCAACCTCCCGCCTCAGTTAGCTCTTCTCTTTGAAAAGTAAAAGATTAATTCTTTCATTGTTATACAATCCCTCCCAACATTTATCCTTTTTAGAACCTTTGAGAAAAATTATTCTACCTTCTTTACAGTTATTTGGATTATATAAAGAAGACATAAACTTCTTTTTGTCAAACTTGTAGATGGTAGAAACAAAGCCTAAATCATTTCAATTATTTGCACTAGATGATATCAGCAAATTAGTAGTGAAACTGGAGCTAATGCCTGATCTCATAATTTCTGTGCCACACTGCTCTTCACTACCAAAAGGGTATCTAATATATTACCAATATTACATACATAATCCTTATCTTATTCTTTGAAGTTAAAGATGTGAAATAGACAAAGACAAGCAATTTCACCCATGTTCACAGGCAGGATCAGAAATTAATATCATTAGTATTACTCTCATGACTTTCTGTTCTTGAAATTATGGTTTCATTTAACTACAGTTCTAATCACTGTCAGTTTCCATTATGGAATGAGGAAGCAATATTTTATCTTATCTCCTGAGAATTAAAGTTGAAATGGAAACTATTTCCCTTGGAAATTAATAGCTTTTTCTTCAGATGCCTTAAAACTCATCTTTAATACTAAAGTTATTTGCCATTATTATCCTGCATAGTCATTAAAGGACTAAATATGCTGTTAATGTTAAAGTAGTTGGTAAAACATTAGCTGTAATTTTAACCAATATCTGCATTGAAAGAGGAAATTAAATGCTTACTGTTTTAGCATGGGAAATTTTCAGGTTTTGTTCTGACTGGTTATTCACGTAGCACATAAGCTGGACATTAGAATCCATATTAAATGTTGTTTTCTGCCTCTTCTTCAGTTTCTAGAATTTTGGAGCAGCCAGACGATGGACCCTGTGGTCTTGAGTTACATGGACAGTTTACTGCGGCAATCAGATGTCTGCCTGTTGGATCCTCCAAATTGGCTCAATGACCATATTATTGGGTTTGCCTTTGAGTATTTTGCCAACTGTCAGTTTTGTGACCATGCTGACAAAGTCTGCTTCATTAGCCCAGAAGTCACCCAGTTCATCAAATGTACTAGCAACTTAGCGGAGATCACCATCTTCCTTGAACCACTGGACCTCCCCCACAAGAAAGTTGTGTTTTTAGCCATCAATGATAACTCCAACCGAGCAGCTGGGGGAACACACTGGAGTTTGTTGGTGTATCTCCAGGATAAAAACAGCTTTTCTCATTATGATTCCCATAGTAGGAGCAACTCAGTCCATGCAAAGCAGGTAGCAGAGAAACTGGAAATTTTCTTAAGCAGAAAAGGAGACAGAGTGGCCTTTGTGGAAGAGAAAGCCCCTGCTCAACAGAACAGCTATGACTGTGGGATGTATGTGATCTGTAACACTGAGGCCTTGTGTTATAGCTTCTTTAGGCAGCAGCCAGAAGGACTACTGCAGCTACTTACCCCTGCATACATCACTAAAAAGAGGCAAGAATGGAAAGATCTCATTGCCAGACTCGCTAAAAATTAACTGTGAGGTATATTTGTGACTTTTGAAGTTGCCTTTTTGTGCCTGTCCCATTTATTGGATGACTGCAATCTCAGTGCCTGAGGAAAGATATCTGGTAGAGGAAAGTTTTAGTATTCAATATGTTTTCCTGAAAGAATGTCATCTTCTGCAATATCCTAATGGAAAATTTCATTTTAATCCTCTTTGAGAACACTGTGTTCTGTGAAAATGTCTTAAAAGTTATGCAGCAGAACCTTAAAATTAACATTTATTACACATGAGTCTCAAGTAAGATTTTTCTTTTCCTATTGGTATGATTTTAATTCCATTTTGGTCTCTTGTGTCCACATTGTCCTTTTCCAAAGAAAAACAAATAAGGAATAGGTGAATTCCAGAAGAACAAACCTCAGTAAAAAAGGAAATGCAAGGGGAAAAACTATAGAAGACCCAAAAGTCCCTTGTCCATCTTGCATATCTAACAAGGTCAAGTGACTGAAAGCAGATGAAGACCTAACTTCAGTCAGGACCTCAGTAATGTAAGGAGTCAGTTACTCAGTTCTGTGGTAGCTCTCTCATCTGCTAGTTTACTTAAGCTCCACCTAACCTTTGCAAATGTTTGATAAACATGATGTTAGTCCTCCTTCCCTCTCTTAATTCCTGGAATGCTTTAAGAATGGAGAGTTCTTTAAGAATTTTATTTAAAAAACTTTGGTGGACATTTCTACTACTTTGGATTGAAAACAGTTTTTACTTGGCTATTAGCCATCCACTCACTTCCTCCTTAGACCCAGAGTTCTTCGTTTTCTAAGATTCATGTAACTGCCTCCAATTAACCAAATTCACTACCATGCAGTCATTTTAAACTGCTAGTGACCCATGGGGTGGTATAGAACTGGTCTGTAGGCTTTTCAAAGCCCCCAATCTTTACAGAAGCACACTACCTGATCTTTTCACCCACAGAGCTGCTGGTAAATTTACACTATTAATTTTTTGGTTAGGGAACTCTGGTGGTCGAGTGGCAGGAAACTGCACTGCAATCCTGAAGGCATGCAGTTCAAGTCCAGCTGCTCTTTGGGAGAAGGATGGACAAACTCCTCCCATGTGATTAGCTGCCTCTGAAAACCCGCTGGAGCATCAGCTCTGGGTTGGATCCAACTCAATGGTATACAACATCCACATTTTGGCTAGTGGCCAGATGCTGTAAGCACTGTGCCACCAAGGATCTTGTAACTGCCTACAGTTATTATTTCATATGAACATTCTACTTTCCTCACCTCTCAATCTAAATTTTATGGACTCATTTTCATTTATGTCAAGGTGAGTTGGTTTGTTTTTGAGGAAGGGGGGGGAATCACCTTTACATTTAATTCTCAACCCTTATACTTAATTCAAAGTGCAGACAATGTAATTTGAAAACCATGAAACTAAGAAAAAGAAATGCTATCTGATATACCTCCAAAAAACACTAATGTATTTTTCAGAGTTGTTTCATGTAATAGTTAAATAATATATCAGGTATACACATTCACTCTATTCTCAGTGAGAATTAGATTGCAGTGCATATGAAGTTTAAAAACCAAAGATTACCTCCAGCTGCCTCCCTAGCCTAACCCTGCCCCCATCCCCGGCTCAAAATAGCCTCACCACCCAGTGACTTCTGAAGCAGTAACAAAGTTCCTTTTAGCCAAGGAAGGAAAACATAATAAGTGTAGGTAATCATAGCTTATAACAGGCTAGTGACATAAAAGTTGAAACTAAAAAAAAAATCAAAGAAAAAGCTAAAAATATTCACATGCCAAGCCCATATGTGTTGGGGATAAAAAAGGCCTTAATGGAAGGTAAGGCCAAGATCAAGATTTGGAACTAGCATTCACCAACAGAGATGTGAAAAACAAAGGGACGAACAGGAGGAATGAGACAGGTTACTGATAGGCCAAGAGTATAGATAAAGGTAAGAAAGTAGTTCTATTTCAGTAACTGTTGATTTAGGCAGCTAGTCTAGACAAAGAGTTGACTCCTGAGATAGACTGCTATCTTTTTGGAAATGCAAAACGTGTCAAGTATCAGTGCCTTTTGTTTTGAAAGTTAATAGATCTGAGAGCAGTTTTTCTTAAATTCCCAGGATTTGCCCTAAAAATAAGTTATCTTTTTAACAAGCTAGTAAGAATTTAAATAAAATCTAAAATGTCCTTTCCCAAATACATAGCATGATGCTAGTCTGCCCATAGTCTCCTTACAAAAAACATAGAACTGTTACATTGTTAGCATTATAAGTGTCAGGAAAATATAAGAATTTACTTAGAATGTTTCACTAGATACTATACCTTTTTGTCCATACTGACCCATAGCTGACCCTCCAGCACATTTTCAGAGACAATTGGTCAGGAGGAGATTGCCCATCTTTCTCCCACAGAGCAGCTGGTTGCCTAAAACTTTGTGCCTTCGGGATTGCAGAACCACATCTTGCCACTAGGCCACCAGAGCTCCCTAGATACTATATTTTGTTGTTGTTAAGTGCCATCGAGTCATAGGCGACTCTTAGCCACCCTATGAAGGAAAGTCCTCAACACTTGTGTGACTTTCATCCTCTCTCCAGATTCATAGGGTTTCTGGAGGCAAGCTATTACGGAAGTGGATGCCCCTCCTGCTTCCAGGTTTGTTTTGATAGGGGAGCACCACCAAACACTGTCCAACATGGGTAACCATTAACGCATTTCATGCATTAGTGTCAATGTTCAGCTTCACATCGACCACAAGTTACTGCTGTACAGCTAGTGGACACACCAGGGTTATATGACCTAGAAGAATGTTTGAACAAAAACAATGAAAGATGATAGTATTTTACCATTCTGGCACACTCAAATGCTGGGAAACTTGGGCCAGAGACCCCCAGTTCATCTGGCAAGTCTACTCTGCCAAGTCCCACTTGGGACAAAAAGAATGCCACAGGGCTTCCGTACCCGCCACTCCTCAAGAAGCCAGAGGCCATGTGCAGCTGACACTACGTCTCAGATACTATATAATAACCTATAAATGCATCCGCTGATGTTGATCATGATACAAAGTAAGAAGAAGATTTTATGTTTTATACTGCCTTCTCTCGAGTCAAAAGGATCTGCACCACACCTGCGTGCTACTATTAAGTCATTTCAGACTCATGAAGACCCTAAGTTGTGTGTCATCAAATCAGAACCGACCCACAGCTGACCCTCCAGCAGGTTTTTCAAAGGTGGTTAATTACACAGGAGGAGATTGCCCATCCTTCTCACTTGGAGCAGCTGGTGGATTCGAACCACATACCTTCAGATTACAGCACAAGCTGCATAAAGACCCTATAGGACAAAGTAAAATTGTTTCATAGTGTTTCAAAACTTGTGACTATTTACAGATCAGACTGCCTTATCTTTCTCACAAGTAGCAGCCTGCTGGTTTTGAACAACCAACCTTTTGGGTAGCAGTCCAGTGATTAGCCCACATGCCACCAGAACTACTCAAAAGTCATCAAATTCACCTTCAAAATCTTCAAAAGAAAGGGCAGCCAAACTTTGATTGAGTAGTTATTAAACACTTAACCTGTTTTCAAATAATCTGTTCTATTATCCCACAAGTATGTCTATACTTCTCCAGCAATTCATAAAGATCACTCAAACAATTAAAAAAGATCACCATATGTAAACCCAGCTGTAGATTGTGGTCAAAACTAAAAATAACTATCAGTGGCTGTGCTGTTTAATGCTGTCTAAACCACAGATAGTTCCATCTTTGACCAGATAACTGTTGACGTTCATAAGACTCCATAATGTGATCACAGTAATTTAAAAATCACAAATAGATTATTCCTCATAAATTTCTTTATAAATGTTTACTGTATCTGTATTGACCATACATTTTAATAACATGATCGTTCATAAAATGGCTAAGTAACATTTCTGTCTCAGTTACTTGCTGATATTGAAAGTTTTTTCTTCTACCACTCAAATTAAGAAAGGGGAAAATAATTACAGAAATGTACATGATGAAATACTGGAAAGAACATGAATTTTTAAAGCAAGCCCAAGCTCTTTCCATATAAATTTATAGCCTTGTGAAATTTTGAGAGTCATTATTCTCATCTGCAAAATGAAGATAGCAGTTTGGTTAAGAAGGTGCTGAAAGGACTGAGGGATTCCCAATCCAAAAACTTGAAGTAAAAGTCCACCAGCTGCTCCAGGAGGAAAAGATGGACAATCTTCTCCTGAGCAATTTGCAGCCTCTGAAACCCTACTGGAGGATCAGCTATGAGTAGGTTCTGAGTCAACAGCCCATAACAACAATGTGCACTACAAATGATTAAGTTTCTCTGCTACTCACCTAGAGAGTACAGTTCTGAATCCAGCTGGTTGCACCTTGTGGAGAGGGGGAGAAAAGCAGGACAATCTCTGGACAAAGAATAACTCATGGAGAAGCTCGGAGAGCACAGTTGTACACTAGCTCATTTGAGGTCACCGTGAGTTAGAATCAACAGCAAGGCGTTGATAAGAATTAAAATACCATATGAAAAGTATATAATAGAAACAGAACTAAACCACATTTCCTTTCAGCTTAACTACTGGTTCCATTTAACACTAAGAACATTTGAAAACTTCGTTTTACATTTCCATGCAGCTCAACAGCTCTGTGTATTTAAAAAAAAAAAAAACAACAAAACTTGATAAATGCTTTGTACAAAAGGGAAACTTAGTAGAGGATAATAAAGGGTGTAAAATGTCTTAGCAGTAACCTTTTTAACACTCTGTAGAAGAATTCTGATGGCTCAATAAATAAAACACTTGACAGCTAACCAAAAGGTCTGTGATTCAAAGCCACTAGTTACTCTGGAGGAAAGTGATGGCAATCTACTTTTATAAAGATTATACAGCCTTGGAAACACTATGAGACGAATAGTTTTTATATCCATTATGTCATTACACTCTCGTATTTTCCCTGTGAACCAGGTGGTGGTGGTGGTGGTGGTGGTGGTATTCCATTTATAAATAACATAC